CTGGACCATGATCTTAAATCTTCCTCCCATCTCTGGTACCTCCATATCACCCCTTCTCGACAGCCCCCAAGAATATAATTCATGCCTGGCCCACTGGCCTGTAGTTCCAGCTACTCAGGAGGCTAAAGCAGGAGGATGGCTTGAAGCCAGGGGTGCAAGGCCAGCCTGGGTAACATAGTGAGACCTGCACCCCTCCCCCGCAGAAAAAATACAGTATGGGGGCTGGGGACGTGGCTCAAGCGGTAGCACGCGGGGCCCTGGGTTCGATCCTCAGCACCACATAAAAATAAAATAAAGATGTTGTGCCCACCAAAAACTAAAAAATAAATATTTAAAAAATTATCTCTCTCTTTAAAAAAAAAATACAGTACAGTCATGTCCCCTATAATAATGTTCTGGTCAACAGTGAACTGCATATACTGTAATGGCCCCATAAGATTATATTGCCTAGTGACATTGTAGCCATCTTAGTTTATATAAGCACACTCATAATAATCATACAATCACAAAATCACCTAATGATGTGTTTCTGAGTACATGTCCTCATCATTAAGCAAAAAAATGACTATACATTGTCAGTGCCTATATAATAGATTTTATAGTCAGTCTCTTGAACTGATTCCTCCTAGGTGAATTTTGTATCCTTTGACTCACATCTTACCAACCTCTCTTCCCTCCAGCTTTTGACTTCTATGAGTTCAATTTTTTTAGATTCCATATGTAAGTTAGATCACTTGGTATTTGTCTTTCTGTGCCTGACTTATCTCACTTAGCTTCACATCCTCCAAATTCATCCATGTTGTAGCAAATGACAGGGTTTCCTTCTCTCTTTTTTTTTTTTTTAAGGCAGAATAGTATCCTGTTATGTGTATATATCACATTTTATTTGCTCATTCATCCACTGATGGACACTTGGGTTGGTTCCTTATCTTGACTATTGTGAATAGTACTGCAATAAACATAAGCATGCAGACATCTGTTCATACTGATTTCATTTCCTTTGGACTAGTGAGATTGCCCACTACTTCAATCACCCTTTCTTGTCAGGCCCTCCTGTGTCCCAGAAAGTGAACCCCCTTTCCCCTAATCCCTGTTAGCCTTGGTATGGCTGTGACCCAAGTTTTTCCTCCTAATGTGATGGGCAAGGCAGGGGTAGGGATGGATTCATTACTGGGACCCAAATGCAGCAGCCCATTGAAGGCTATGTGGCTAGAGGGACAGGCTGAGAGTGAGCCAGATTCCACACACATCAGGGCTATCCACACTGGCCTAGTCTATACATCTGATAGGTGTGTTCCTCACAATATGCTAAAATTCTGATGTTCACAGGCAAGTTTATTAAACATGAACCTCTGGACTCTGCTTGTTTGTGCCACAACTTTCCAGGCCTGGGCCTCCTTTCGTTCTGTGGTGACCCAGCACATGGAAACTCTAGTTCTATTCCAAGGAGTGGGCACTCACATGGGCTAACATGGGTCATACACTTATCCCAGCCCACCCAGGGGCCACACTGAAACACTCTGTCTCCTCTAATCATTGAGTCTCCAAAAAGGACCCTCACCACTAACTAAATTGTTTATCATTCAGGGACCCACCTTGTGATTCCGACCTTTACCCTAGACATTGCTAGGTGAATCAAGCACTCTTCATGTCTTAGCATCAGATGTCCCAGTGTGTCTCATCTCTGGATATTGCAAACAAGTTATGCATCTGTTGGAGGGGAATAGCTCTGTAATCATGAATGCAATAGCAGTTATCACCCCAGGTGACCCTACCCCTAGGTGATACTGGTGCTGGAGAGCAGGTCAAAACCCAGTCTAGGGTCATGCCTGTATTCAACTCTTATGTCTCTTTATTTTGTTACTATTTTTATTTTTTATTTTTTTGGTACCGGGGATTAAACACAGGGGTACTCAACCCCTATTTTGAATTTTACTTAGAGGCAGGGTCTCACTGAGTTGATTAGCACCTCACCGTTGCTGAGGCTGGCTTTGAACTTGGGATCCTCCTGTCTCAGCCTCCCAAGTCACTGGGATTACAGGTATGCGCCACTGCCTTCTTGTGTCTCTTTAGTGTCCATTAATCCAAAGTTTTTCCTCAGTCCTATTTTTCTTTTATAACTGACATTATTGACAATCTCAAAGAGTGTAGGCAAGATGTTTCATATAATATATCTTAAAATTTGAGTTTCTCTAAAGTTTTGTCCTTAGTAGATTCAGGTATTTCATGGGCAGGAAACTACATAAAATGATGTGCCTTCTGAGAATTATATCAGGAGGGACATGTCCTTTTCTTGGAGACATTAATTAAATTTAATCACTTCATTGAGGCATATCCACCAAGTTTCTCCACTGTAAAACTGCCACTTATGCCCTTTGTAATTAGCCAGTCATCTTTGGGGAAATGTGAGCTATAAATACCCATTCCTCCTCAACTGTCACCCACAAACTTCAGCATCCATCAATAATATTTACTTGAACTCAATCACCTGACTCAATTTTTACTAAGATGGTTACAAATAGAAGTTACTGAGCTCCATTGTTTATTTTATACTTATTTTCTCCTTTCCATTTTTCCTTTTTCATTTTAAATTTCTTTTGGCAGTACTAGGAATTGAATCTACTGACACTCTACCATAGAGCTACTTCCCCACCCCCCACCCCTTGTTTTTTGTATCAGGTATTGAACCCAAGGGCACTTAACCACTTGACCACTGAGCCACATCCCCAGCCCTTTTTTTATAATTTATTTAGAGACAGGGTCTTGCTAAATTGCTTAGTGCCTTGCTAAATTGCTAAAGCTGACTTTGAACTGCACTCCTCCTGCCTCAGCCTCCCCAGCTTCTGGGATTACAAGCGTGTACCACTGTGCCCGGGCCCACATCCCTTTTAAAAATATGTTTTATCTTGAAAAGTGTCTCACTAAACTGGGTGTGGAGGCACATGCTTGTAAGCCCAGCAGCTCAGGAGGCTGAGGGAGGAGGATTTCGAGTTCAAAGCCAGCTTCTGCAACCAATTTATTGAAATCCTGCCTCAAATTTTTAAAAAGGGGCTGGGGCTATAGCTCAGTGGCAGAGCGCTTGCCAGAGTGTGAGGCACTGGGTTCAATCCTCAGCACCACATAAAAATAAAAATAAACAAGGGCTAGGGCTATAGCTCAGTGGTAGAGCACCCGCCTCGCATGTGTGAGCCACTGGGTTGGATCCTCAGCACCACATAAAAATAAATAAAGATATCGTTATCCAACTACAACTAAAAAATTTTTTTTAAATAAACAAATGCATTCAATCCATCTACAACTACAAAAAAGTTCTTTTTTAATTTAAAAAAGTATAAAAAGGGCTGGGGATGTGGCTCAGTGGTTAAGCACCCCTGGATTCAAGAAAGAAGAAAGGAAGAGAGGAAAGGAGGGAGGGATGGAGGGAGGGAAGGAGAGGGGAAGGGGAAGGGGAGGGAGAAGGAAGAAAGAAAAGGGTCTCATTAAGTTGCCCTGGCTGGCCTCAAATTTTTGATCCTCCTGCTTAGTCCTCCCAAGAACTGGGATTATAGGTGATATTACCATGCCTGGCTCTTTCTTTCCTTATTAGTACAGATTCATGGATTCTTACCTTATCCAATGGATTTTAATCCATTACTATCATTATTTATTTTGATTTTCAAATTGTCCAGATTTGGTCAGAAGTTCCCTTGCGTGCTCCTGTCATCTTTTGAGCATTTTCTTACTTTTTAGCATCACAGGATGTTCCAGGTTCATCTTGTACAAATCTGGAATTAGCCATTTCTCCAAGGAGACTTGGCTCTCTGGAGCAGGCAATGGTGTTTAGAATTGAAGACCTGGGAAATAAATGTGCTCCTTGATACTGGGGTGTCATTGCTTTTAAGTCCTTTTGGCAAACATGGCTCAGAACTTACAAAATATCTATTTTTCCAATTCCAATTTAGGTTTTTTTGGGGTTTGTTTTTTTTTTTTTTTCTGTGTGTATGTGTGGTGCTGGGGATTGAACCCCGGGCCTAATGCATGCAAGGCAAGCACTCTACCAACTGAGCTATATCCTCAGCCCTCAATTCCAGTTTAGTAACTGAGTCCATCCATTCTTCCCCAACTCCAGATTTCCTCCCATCTCACACAGTAAGAACCTGGGTTTCCATCAATATCAATATATTTTCTCATTTGCCCTATCCCACACAAAAGGTAATTGCAGGATTTCTATCCCCATATCATTGTGAAAAATTAAGTAGAGCTCAAGATTTACTTAATATCACTCAAAAAACAACCAGCAGTTGCCTGCCAAGGCCTCCTCTCATTTATTCCACTCAATGTCATGGAACGCCTATTCTATACCAAGATCCTATTACCTGAGCACTTACTACATACTATACCCTGGGACTTTTCCAACAAGATTTCTGAGAGAACTAGCCCTTCCAGGAGCCAGAGCATACATAAGAGTCTTCCTACTCCCGTTTTTCTGACTGGTACCTCAGTTTCTTTCAGTATATGGATCAACTGATCTGATTACCCCCACTTCCCATCCCTGGGAAAGGCAGAACAAAGTCTGGTTGCCTCCAAATCTACACACCTGCTGTGCCTCCCCCATACCCGCCCCAACAGGCACCCTCAGGCGCTTTCACAGCAGAGCCTCCAGCCTCCAGCTGGCAGCTGCTAGGACCCAGGGGGCTGGCACCAGGCCCTGCCCCTCCCTTGCCAGCTCTGTCTCCAAAGTGCAACATCAGAGTGACAGCCAGTACCATCTCCGACAGAAGCTGAGTTGCTGGATCTGGGCTGGGGCAGGGGGAGAGAGCCGGCCGACTTAGCCTTGCACCCCTCCATGAGGCCGGCCAAGCCCCCAAGAGGATGGCAGCCTGGGCGTCGAGGCCACCTTCTGGGCGGCCTATGAAGTGAGGTGCCGGAGGAGCAAAGAAGGGACAGGTGATGGGAATCCTGGAGCTGGAGGCTCGAATTTGCTCTCCGCATACCAACACAGGTGAAGCCTGAGCGCTCAAATGGCCAACACCACAGGGCTGAACGCCACAGAAATCGCAGGTTCGGTGGGTTTGATCCTGGCGGTTCTCGTGGAGGTGGGGGCACTGCTGGGCAACGGTGCGCTGCTGGTCGTGGTGCTGCGCACTCCAGGACTACAAGACGCGCTCTACCTGGTGCACCTGTGCATCGTGGACCTGCTGGCAGCCGCTTCCATCATGCCGCTCGGCCTGCTGGCCGCACCACCGCCCGGGCTGGGCCACGTGCGCCTGGGGCCTGAGCCGTGCCGCGCAGCGCGCTTCCTCTCCGCAGCGCTGCTGCCTGCCTGCACGCTCGGTGTGGCCGCGCTCGGCCTAGCGCGCTACCGCTTCATAGTGCACCCGCTGCGGCCAGGCGTGTGGCCGCCGCCGGGGCTTGTCCTTACCGCCGTGTGGGCGGTAGCCGGGCTCCTGGGGGCGCTCTCCCTCCTCGGGCCGCCTCCCGCACCGCCCCCTGCCCCAGCTCGCTGCTCGGTCCTGGTCGGTGGCCTCGGGCCCTTCCGGCCGCTCTGGGCGCTGCTGGCCTTCGCGCTGCCAGCGCTCCTGCTGCTTGGCGCCTACAGCAGCATCTTTCTGGTGGCCCGCCGCGCAGCCCTGAGGCCCCCGAGACCCGCGCGCGTGTCCCGGCTGCGCTCTGACTCTCTGGACAGCCGCCTCTCCTTCTTGCCACCCCTCCGGCCTCGCCTGCCTGGGGGCAAGGCGGCCCTAGCCCCGGCGTTGGCCGTGGGCCAATTTGCAGCCTGCTGGCTGCCTTATGGTTGCGCGTGCCTGGCGCCTGCGGCGCGGGCCGCAGAGGCTGAGGCGGCTGTCACCTGGGTAGCGTACTCGGCCTTCGCGGCACACCCCTTTCTGTATGGCCTGCTGCAGCGCCCCATCCGTTTGACTCTGGGTCGCCTCACCCGCTGTGCGTTGCCCCGGACCCCTGGAACCTGCACTTTGCACGCCTGGGAACCGCGGGCACTCTTGCAACGTCTCCAGGGAGCCCCACAGGGCCCTGCCCTAGGCCCTTCTGAGGCACCAGATCCTGCCAGGGAATTGGCAGGAGGACAGAGTCCAAGCATGCCAGAGGCCACCTGAGAACACTCCTAAGCTGGAGAAAGAATAGGATTAGAGGGGGCCCATCCAGCCCCCTGCACAAGTCAAAGCAGGTGCCTTGCTTGGACTTTCAGCTCTGGAACATGAAGAGAAGATTGTCTACAATCTTCCAGAGGCCCAGAGGCTTCTCTGGAATCCTGGGTTGGGACCCGACATTGCATGGCCTTATGCCCAAACCTACCCTCCCTAAGGCTTCAGTTTTCCCTTTTGTACCCTGTACCATTTCTAAGGCGCCCTCCACTGTAGGCTGTGGGATTCATGGATATCTCCAGGTCCAGGGAGGAGAAAGAGTGGGCAGGGTCACAAAGAAGAGAATCCTAAGGGCTTCCAGCCAAAGTGATGGACCAAACAGGGCAGGTGTAAGTTACATCTACAGCAAAAGAAACCAATAGAGAAACTTAGGACTGCCCTGATGTGTGCAGCAAGAAGTCTGGACAGAGCCACTGAAACTCTTCTATCTGCTTCTAAAATGCCCAGAGAACAACTGGATCAATTCGGTGTCATGGACAACATGACCCACACCAAAGAGTCTTGGAATCCCAGAACTGGCATGTGAAAGGGGCTGTGGCCCAACTGGGGCTGGTGGATTCACAGATGGGAGGTCCTCTGGGGCTTCAGCTATACCCATTTTCTGGAGGTTTTGCCACCCCAACACCAGTATTTCACAGCTTTCTGGTCGCTGAGAATATTTATTCAAAAACAGGGATTGAAAAAACTGTACAGAGTGTCTGCTGCTGAGAACTGGGCCCCTGCCCCCAGGCCACTCCCCCAGCTACCCGGCAGAGTCGCCTCTTTGGGTTGCCCCCTGACAAGCCCAACCAGTCCATTCCAGTCAAAAGGAGATCAGTGGAAGCAGCAGGAATCTGCAGGGAGGTGGAGAGAAACATGGCCCCAGCCAACCCTCAGCCCTCCTCCCTGATTCCTACCGTGGGGCAGTAGGCCAGGAAGCCCTAAGGGTTGAGAGTACATGGGTGACCACCCTCCCTGGTGGGGCACTAGGGAGGCCCCTGGCTGCTCCCTGAATCCAAGCACAGAGCTGAAGGGGTACTGCCTCCTGTCCTGGGGCTGCCATAGCTCCCAGAACCCTGGGCCAGAAACTGCCCCCTCTCCAAGAGGGGGAACTCCAAAGACCAGGGCAGGGTAGGGGGTGCATCCATGCGTCTGGCATTAGCGGTGTTTGGGACCCCAGGGTGGAGTCTCCGTGGGCAGGTAGGATGCGGAGGCAGCCCCCTGCCTGTGGTCCTGCCTGCCCCCGCCTGTGCCTCAGCTGGCCTCAGTAGGGGGAGAATTTCTGCCGCTCAGCTTTCTTGCTCCCATTGGCCGCTGCCATCTTGGCAGTGTAGGCTGCCAAACCCGGGGGTGGCCCTGGGGAAGCAGGTGGTAGAGCCAAGAAGGGCACAGGCTTGAGACCGATGAAGTTGGAGAGGGAGATGGCATAGGGTGTGCCCAGCAGGCCTGGGGGAGCTGTGGGCAGGGCCGTCAGGGGCGGCGAGAAGGGGGCGGGCAGGTCTGCGGGGGCTGAGCCAGGCGTCCCCCCAGAGGTAGACTTGGCCGTCTCTAGACTGGAGAGAGGGATATAGAGGGGAGATGAAGGGAAAGTGGAAATGAGACAGGAGTAATGACGGTAGATTATGGCATTAGATTAGCCAAAGGACAGGAGAGAAGAGACAGGTTGAATGTGTTTGGGAGGAAGATGGGCAAGGTGGAAAGGTGAGGAGGGCAGAAAGGACAAGCAGATATAGTATGGGGAGAGAGCAGAAATGGGGTGACCAAAGGTCCAGGGAAAAGAGCAGTGGAGAAAGAGGATATGAGAGATGGATACAGAGGAAAAAGATGAGGCAACATGGGTGACTTAGGTAGAATACCATGAGGAAAGGGAAGGATGTTAGGGAAGGCAGAGGATCAGTCCAGAAGGAAAGGGGGTCAGCTCTCCCCTCCCCACTTACAATCACCCCGCTGCCCACCCCATGCTCACCAGGCAGTGATGAGGTACTGAGCCAAGGCGATAGAGACTGGCGAGCCAGTGATGGTCACGTGCCGCTCACCAGCACCCTCTGCTTGGTTCCCTATCTTGATGTGTGCCCCTGACATCTGCCGGATCTCACTGATCTTGCTGCCCTGACGCCCGATCACACAGCCAATCAGCTAAGGAAGAGGCAGAATTTAACCCTGGGCAAAGGTCGGATTCCCAGATCCTTTACCCATCCTCCAGCCACCCCATCCCCTGCTCACGTCATTGGGAACCAAGAACTCCTGTGAGCTGGTCTGTGCGCCAGGATCCAGTCCTAAGGTGGAGAAGAGAGACTGAGTGTGGTTCTAGGTCTCTCAGGGCCCCCATTTCCATTCTAGGGGGCTGCCTCGCCTCCTGGGATCTGCCCCTGCCTCCTTGTGCAGAGGCTGCTTACCTGGCACCACACTGGGTGAGGCAAAGGGGACTGCATGGCCCGAGAGCTGCTGGAGCTTGGTGACCTATGCCAAAAAAGAGGGGTCAGAGGTTAGAGGAGGCTTGATTTAGGAAGGCGTGCTTGGGCTGTAGGTCACTTACCTCAGCAGGAGTCACAGCTCCATACTGACCCTGGACAGAAAAGCCCTGAGGGGACAAAGTGATGTTAAAAGGTGGTTACTGCGACAAGCCAGGGCAGCTGGGCAGGACCACTCCTCCCCATCTCCTCAGATACCCGATTCCCTTTTCTACCCCCTCCCTCCATCTTGATCCCCTTCTTCAGTAATTCTTCCTGTCCCTCCCGCTGTTCCCCTTACCTGGTTGGCAGAGAGAAGGACAGTACCTAGAGAGAGGCTCGGATGATAGGGGATAGTGGCTCCTTTGGGTGGGGACTAGAAGGCACAAATGGGAGACTCTGTCAGAATCCTCTCAGGCCCCAGTTCTCTCTCTAAATGCCCAGTGGCCTCAAGGCCCTTCCCATGACCCCCAGATAAATGCATCCCTACACTCTGGAGCTCAGAGTCCATCCCTGAAGCCCTGCTCTGCCCCATCTGCTATCACAGGCATGGGCTTTGGGGTACCCGACAAAGAAGGCCCAGGGCCCATCTCCTGCCCCCCTCCCTGATCACAGGCAGCACCTCCAGGATGACAGCGCAGATCTGGCGCACACACAGAATGATGGCATCAGGCACCCCGGACACAGTGACAGCACGCTCTGTGGAATTGGGGAGCAGATCCCCTGCCACTTGCACTTGGGCACCTGTAGTCTGCAAATAGAAAGCAGGGGCTATGTCTGGCTACTCTGATAGCCCAGAGAAGGGCTGCCCAGCCTCAGAGCTCCCCAGAGGGAATGAAACCATAAGCCCAGCTCCCCTCTCACTATTAGAGGGTGGGAACTCCCTCTAGGTGGCATCCTTCTTCCCTCACCTCTCGGATTTCCTTGATCTTGGTGCCAGCCTTCCCAATCAGTGAGCCACACTGGCTGGCAGGGATGACAAGGCGCAGGGTCACCGGAGGTCTGGAGACATTGCCACCATTTGCAGGAGCAGCACAAAGGTCCTAGAGCAGGGAGATGGTGGATTGGCCACACACACTCCCACTACTCCTTCCAACCCTCATCACACCCTGTTCTGCTGAGGCATAAGGAGGTAACCCTCCCCAGGCCTCCTCCAAGGGAACACTGCCCTGGGCTTGACCTTCCCTCCCATTCATTGCTACTATCTTGAGTAGGAGTCAAGTTTCTCCCAGGGAACCACCCTTGGACTCCCACCCAGCCATCCACAGACCTCATCCAGCTTAAAAGCAATCATGGAGACTGCATGGAAGACAGCTGCTGTAGACCCAGTGATGGTGGTGATACGTTCAGGGCAGGAGCCCTCAGAGATGGTGATCCGGGCACTGCTCTGCGGGTACAGGACAAATACTGGGCAGCAGGGTACCTTCCCCACTCTGGGGCCAGGAATCTTTCTGCCTGTCCAAATCACCAGTCCCCAGCCAAGCCTGGAGGCCACCACCCTCTCAGGCACTCACTGGTCATTGCAGATGGAATGGTTCAGGGAGAAGATGGGACAGGGGTCTCCCCTCCCTTCCATATCAAGTACCCTGTATTCCTCCCCCAAACTCCATCCTCACCTGTTCCCGGATTCGCTTTACAGTCTCGCCCTTCTGTGGGAGACAAAGCAAGATAATTGCTCTTAGCCAGAGTGGTCATGGCCTCCTACCCTGGGCTGAGGCCTCAGGTTGAAAAGGACGTAAAGAGCAGAACTAGGCACCTACCTTCCCAATTATGCTGCCCACCTCCTGCAAACAAGACAAGAATATAGTTAGCCAGGCACAGTGGCACACGCATGTAATCACACTGGCTTGGGAAGCTGAAGCAGGAGGATCATGAGTTCAAAGTCAGCCTCAGCATTTTAGCGAGGCCCTAAGCAACTTAGACTGTCTCTCTAAAATATTTTTTTTAAAAGGATGTGGCTCAGTGATCGAGCCCCTGGGTTAAATCCCCATACCAAAAAAAAAAAAAAAAGAATACAGTTAGATGGACACCAATGTCTCAAGGATGACTCCTCCCCTCCCTCAGACAGGGGATCCACAGAAGACAAGATTCCTGAGATCAAATTTGCTTTGGCCCAGCTTTGCCCTGCCTTGCCTCCAACAGTCCCAAGCCTTGGCAGCCCCACCCACTCACCTTCCCGTGCATCAGCATCCGCAGTGTGAGGGTGATGCTAAGCTCTGGCTCCTCCTCCAGCCCCGCATCTGAGCTGCTCATCCTGTCAGGCGGGGCTGGGGCCACAGTAGCCAGGGAGTGCGTCCACGTCCACGTTCACGTTGTGGCCTGGCCGGCTCTGGCAGAGGCAATGAAGAAGGGGTTTCAGAGAGTAGCCCAGTTCACCCTGCCCCTGCCCTTACACAGGGACCCCAGAGCCAGACTAGTTCCAGAAAAGGGAGATAGAATAAACCTTGATTTGTAAATGTCCCTGGCTGAGTATAGTGGTACATGCCTGTAATCTCAGTGACTTGGAAAACTGAGGCAGGAAGA